GATTTGTCTTCAGTCAAAGAGTGTGTGGTACCAGGAAGGTGTCTGACATATATATGTTACATATATATATATATGTTATATTATATTTGTGTTACTAAATCGACCTCAGGCCGTGTTTGTGCGTGGCGCGGCTCCCGGCCCTGCCGTGAACCAGGGAGTGAGCGCAGCCCGGTGCACCAGTGTGGTCCGGCGGCAGCGGCGTGCTTATTTTAAGGGTGTTGACGGTTTCCATTGAAAGCCCGTGGCAGCTCAAAGAGGAGCGTAAAATTGGCAAGTGAGGGGGAGTTAGCACGCGGAGGCCTTTGCCATCTCCAGCTCGGCGGCTGAAGATGTCTGGATTTATTCTGGGAACATTACATTTGAGAGGAATTAGTGGGAAGGACTTTTTTTTTTTTCCTTCCTGCTGCTGCTGCTGCGTGTCTGTGTTAACCTTCAGTACTGAGCACCCATGTCAGTACTGGGCACTGAGGTCAGTACTGGGCACTGAGGTCAGTACTGAGCACTGAGGTCAGTACTGGGCACCGATGTCCAACACCAGAAAGACATGAAGGACAGACAAATAAAGTAACGTTTAATATCTTGAAGTATTTATCAATAAACCACTGCTTCCAGTAAAGTTGGTACACAATATACTCATGTTTTTTTTAGACCAAACCTTCTTTGTGATCCACTGCTGGACTGCGATCTCCATGTTGAGCCACTCTGCTCTGCTCTATTTATGACAGTGGATAAAAACCATGAAATGATTTTGATTCCTTATGACATGACAGTTGGATTTCTTATTGATTTTCATGGGTCTAGGAAAGAAAATATAATAACAATCATTTATATTCTAGTTGTTTAGAACATTTAAAAATAATGAGTCAAAAACCTAACTTTTTGTTTAACGTACCAGACGGTGGGATATTTTGATTTCTGATGTGTTCTCAGTCCCTGACGTTGGTTCAACAGGAGAGGTGTAGGAGGAAGAAGGCAGTGAGACAGGAAAGGTGGCGTTCCACGCAGGAACGTCTGGATTTAACCCAGTGTCAAAGGAACCGATGGTCAGAACAGGAAGCAGCGACGGTGTCAGAATAAAAACATTTCGTCAAACTCTGAATGTTTCACAGTTTTAAATGATCAGATTCACGATTGGATGTAACACAGTCAGAATTCACCAAAGATTAAAACAGAGTTTTTATGGTTTGAAGTACGGACAGAAGATGTCCAGTGTCCAGTGTCCAGTGTCCAGTGTCCAAACAAGTTGTTCATTTGACGCTTTCATATCACGAAGTTGTTCATTTGATGCTTTCATATCACTGGTTGTTGTTGTTGTTGTTGTTGTTCCTGGTTTCTAACCATCAGACGTGGTGTCGTCTGCGTACAGTTTGACGTTCTGCTTCAGTTTTTTTATTTTTTTTGTCTAGATAGAGGTTGTGTTTGGGAGCCGTGGACGTCGGAGCCGTGACAACAATGACCAGACTGTCTTGTGACAGCCCGCGGCCAAACTCTGAACTCATGATGACTTAAACTGGCTAACAGGAATTTGCATCAGTGGCGTCTGAAGGCGGCGCTGAGCTCTGAAAGGCCGTAAAGTGCCGGTGATTGGACTCATTTAAAGAGCAGTTAGTCTGCGGTGGACAGGATGTTTTTCCTGGGATCTGACACACAAATTGTTGGTGCAACGCTGAGACAAATGTGCGTGCCTGCTTTGAAAAAACACATCCATCGATTGTAGTGATTGGCCACTTCACACCCACACGCCCCGTCTGTTTGAACCTGTGCAATCAGCGTTGTTGGAGGAAAGGATTTTTTTTTT